GGAGCGAGTCGCATGACACCTCATAAATCGGAGGAGTGGCAATCGGAAAAAAAATGCTGCTCCAACACGAACTGATTGAACCCTCGAAGTCACCTTATACTTGTGGGGTTGTCATGGCCAAGAAGAACGGAGAACAGCTAAGATTCTGCTGCGGCTTTCGCAACCTGAACGTGGTGACAATAAAGGACGCTTACCCAATACCACGCATTGACGAGACCCTCTCGAAGCTCGGTGATGTCAAGTTTTTCATCACACTGGACCTGGGATTTGCCAGTTGCAGTTTAATGCTGATAAAGACATACGAAAGGATGCGTTTCACCAAGGAGGATCTGATACGGACAAGCTTAATATTGGCAGCCGCAATTCGCAGAGCCATATACATAGCCAGGAGAACTTCAGTAACTGTCCTTGATATGGGAGGACGGAACCTCTGGATGATTTTTTTTGTGGTGAGAATCTTGGCAATTCGAATCAGTTTATCTTGAGGCGTGATTTGTTCAGCAACTTCGACGTGATGATCGAGCTCAATAATGGGCTGATAAGGATTAGCAACACAGAGAGGAAGTATGTTAATAGACCAGTAAATAGGATAACAACTGATGAGAAAATACACTAATCTTTTTAGACAGAAAATTCAATTTACAGCCCAGACAGGCAGTAGTAGCGATGTTTGGGATGAGAAATGTAAACCCATTGAGTCATAGTAAGCAGATTTGCCTGGTACCGAAACCATACAGTCGAAGTTCATTGGTTATAGGCCGGAGCTTTTCCGTCACACAAAACGGGCTGTATGTGAGTGAATTGTTGAAAACACTGGACACAAGGGTTTCAAAACAGTGTGGAAGGAAAATTGGCTGCATTTTGCCAATGAGGATGGACTATGAAGAAAGCGGAACCTGAAGAAGCATTGAGTAAAGAACTGTCCAAATCACGCATGTACAGATTTCGTTTTAAAAAGGATAAATCAATTGAGATCTTCAAAAAATCATTTCAATGAGATCTTAAACACATGACGGCTTATCGAGCTGCTCGAATTTTCCGGAACGCTCCTTGTCATATGAACTAGAGTGAAAAAAAAGCGGTTTTGCCGGGTATAGAGCATCTAAGAGGTAAGATAGTGGAGGGAGAGTTTGTGATGCTAAAAACATAAAGCGAATATTGGTTGTTGTAATTTCGTCGAGCACGTCGAACTAGAAGAAGGCGCCGTTCCCCACAGGGAGGGAGCGAGGCGCATGACACCTCATAAGTCGGAGGAAAGGCAAGCGGAAATAAAAATGCTGCTCCACTACGAACTAATTGAACCCTCGAAGTCACTTTGTACTTGTGGGGTTGTCATGGCCAAGAAGAACGGAGCACAGCTAAGGTTCTGCTGCGACGTTCACAACCTGAACGTGGTGACAATAAAGGACGCTTACCCAATACCGCGCATTGACCAGACCCTCTCGAAGCTCGGCGATGTCAAGTTTTCACCACACTGGACCTGGGTTTTGCCAAGTGCAGTTTATTGCTGATAAAGACATACGAAAGGATGGGTTTCACCAAGGAGGATCTGATACGGACAAGCTTAATATTGGCAGCCGCAATTCGCAGAGCCATATACATAGCCAGGAGAACTTCAGTAACTGTCCTTCATATGGGAGGACCGAACCTCTGGATGAGTTTTTTCGTGGTGAGAATCTTGGCGAATCGGATCAGTTCATCTTGAGGCGTGATTTCTTCAGCAAGTTCGACGTGATGATCGAGCTCAATAATGGGCTGATAAGGATTAGGAACACAGAGAGGAAGTATGTTAATTGACCAGTAAATAGGATAACAGCTGATGAGAAAAGACACCAATCTTTTTAGACAGAAAATTCAGATTACAGCCCAGACAGGCAGTAGTAGCGATGTTTGGGATTAGAAATATAAACCCATTGAGTGATAGTAAGCAGATTTGCCTGGTACCGAAAGCATACAGTCGAAGTTCATTGGTTATAGGCCGAAGCTTTTCCGTCACACAAAACGGGCTGTATGTGAGTAAATGGTTGAAAACACTGGACACAAGGGTTTCAATCTAGTGTGGAAGGAAAGTTGGCTGCGCTTTCCCAGTGAGGACGGAGTATGAAGGAAGCGGAACCTGAAGAAGCATCTAGTAAAGAACTGTCCAAATCGCGCATGTTCAGATTTCGTTTTAAAAAAGATAATTGAATTGAGATCTTCAAAAAAAATATTTTCAATGAGATCTGAAACAGATGACGGCTTATCGAGCTGCTCGAAATTTCCGGAACGCTACTTGTCATATGAACTAGAGTGAAACAAAGCGGTTTTGCCGGGGATAGAGCATCCAAGAGGTAAGATAGTGCAGGGAGAGTTTGTGTTGCTAAAAACATAAAGCGAATATTGGTTGTTGTAATTTCGTCGAGCACGTCGAACTAGAAGAAGGCGCCGTTCCCCACAGGGAGGGAGCGAGGCGCATGACACCTCATAAGTCGGAGGAAAGGCAAGCGGAAATAAAAATGCTGCTCCACTACGAACTAATTGAACCCTCGAAGTCACTTTGTACTTGTGGGGTTGTCATGGCCAAGAAGAACGGAGCACAGCTAAGGTTCTGCTGCGACGTTCACAACCTGAACGTGGTGACAATAAAGGACGCTTACCCAATACCGCGCATTGACCAGACCCTCTCGAAGCTCGGCGATGTCAAGTTTTCACCACACTGGACCTGGGTTTTGCCAAGTGCAGTTTATTGCTGATAAAGACATACGAAAGGATGGGTTTCACCAAGGAGGATCTGATACGGACAAGCTTAATATTGGCAGCCGCAATTCGCAGAGCCATATACATAGCCAGGAGAACTTCAGTAACTGTCCTTCATATGGGAGGACCGAACCTCTGGATGAGTTTTTTCGTGGTGAGAATCTTGGCGAATCGGATCAGTTCATCTTGAGGCGTGATTTCTTCAGCAAGTTCGACGTGATGATCGAGCTCAATAATGGGCTGATAAGGATTAGGAACACAGAGAGGAAGTATGTTAATTGACCAGTAAATAGGATAACAGCTGATGAGAAAAGACACCAATCTTTTTAGACAGAAAATTCAGATTACAGCCCAGACAGGCAGTAGTAGCGATGTTTGGGATTAGAAATATAAACCCATTGAGTGATAGTAAGCAGATTTGCCTGGTACCGAAAGCATACAGTCGAAGTTCATTGGTTATAGGCCGAAGCTTTTCCGTCACACAAAACGGGCTGTATGTGAGTAAATGGTTGAAAACACTGGACACAAGGGTTTCAATCTAGTGTGGAAGGAAAGTTGGCTGCGCTTTCCCAGTGAGGACGGAGTATGAAGGAAGCGGAACCTGAAGAAGCATCTAGTAAAGAACTGTCCAAATCGCGCATGTTCAGATTTCGTTTTAAAAAAGATAATTGAATTGAGATCTTCAAAAAAAATATTTTCAATGAGATCTGAAACAGATGACGGCTTATCGAGCTGCTCGAAATTTCCGGAACGCTACTTGTCATATGAACTAGAGTGAAACAAAGCGGTTTTGCCGGGGATAGAGCATCCAAGAGGTAAGATAGTGCAGGGAGAGTTTGTGTTGCTAAAAACATAAAGCGAATATTGGTTGTTGTAATTTCGTCGAGCACGTCGAACTAGAAGAAGGCGCCGTTCCCCACAGGGAGGGAGCGAGGCGCATGACACCTCATAAGTCGGAGGAAAGGCAAGCGGAAATAAAAATGCTGCTCCACTACGAACTAATTGAACCCTCGAAGTCACTTTGTACTTGTGGGGTTGTCATGGCCAAGAAGAACGGAGCACAGCTAAGGTTCTGCTGCGACGTTCACAACCTGAACGTGGTGACAATAAAGGACGCTTACCCAATACCGCGCATTGACCAGACCCTCTCGAAGCTCGGCGATGTCAAGTTTTCACCACACTGGACCTGGGTTTTGCCAAGTGCAGTTTATTGCTGATAAAGACATACGAAAGGATGGGTTTCACCAAGGAGGATCTGATACGGACAAGCTTAATATTGGCAGCCGCAATTCGCAGAGCCATATACATAGCCAGGAGAACTTCAGTAACTGTCCTTCATATGGGAGGACCGAACCTCTGGATGAGTTTTTTCGTGGTGAGAATCTTGGCGAATCGGATCAGTTCATCTTGAGGCGTGATTTCTTCAGCAAGTTCGACGTGATGATCGAGCTCAATAATGGGCTGATAAGGATTAGGAACACAGAGAGGAAGTATGTTAATTGACCAGTAAATAGGATAACAACTGATGAGAAAAGACACCAATCTTTTTAGACAGAAAATTCAGATTACAGCCCAGACAGGCAGTAGTAGCGATGTTTGGGATTAGAAATATAAACCCATTGAGTGATAGTAAGCAGATTTGCCTGGTACCGAAAGCATACAGTCGAAGTTCATTGGTTATAGGCCGGAGCTTTTCCGTCACACAAAACGGGCTGTATGTGAGTAAATGGTTGAAAACACTGGACACAAGGGTTTCAATCTAGTGTGGAAGGAAATTTGGCTGCGCTTTCCCAGTGAGGACGGAGTATGAAGGAAGCGGAACCTGAAGAAGCATCGAGTAAAGAATTGTCCAAATCGCGCATGTTCAGATTTCGTTTTAAAAAAGATAATTGAATTGAGATCTTCAAAAAAAATATTTTCAATGAGATCTGAAACAGATGACGGCTTATCGAGCTGCTCGAAATTTCCGGAATGCTACTTGTCATATGAACTAGAGTGAAACAAAGCGGTTTTGCCGGGGATAGAGCATCTAAGAGGTAAAATAGTGCAGGGAGAGTTTGTGTTGCTAAAAGCATAAAGCGAATATTGGTTGTTGTAATTTCGTCGAGCACGACATCAAACTAGAAGAAGGCGCCGTTCCCCACAGGGAGGGAGTGAGGCGCATGACACCTCATAAATCGTAGGAGTGGCAAGCGGAAACAAAAATGCTGCTCCAATACGAACTGATTGAACCCTCGAAGTCACCTTGTACTTGTGGGGTTGTCATGGCCAAGAAGAACGGAGGACAGCTAAGATTCTGCTGCGACTCTCACAACCTGAACGTGGTGACAATAAAGGACGCTTACCCAATACCACGCATTGACGAGACCCCCTCGAAGCTCGGCGATGTCAAGTTTTTCACCACACTGGACCTGGGTTTTGCCAGTTGCAGTTTAATGCTGATAAAGACATACGAAAGGATGGGTTTCACCAAGGAGGATCTGATACGGACAAGCTTAATATTGGCAGCCGCAATTTGCAGAGCCATATACATAGCCAGGAGATCTTCAGTAACTGTCCTTCATATGGGAGGACCGAACCTCTGGATGAGTTTTTTCGTGGTGAGAATCTTGACGATTCGGATCAGTTCATCATAAAGGATAGATAAAAGATAAAAGACCGTATTTGCATGTGAGTTGGGCTTGTACCTGTGGAAGAGGATGCCCTTTGGCTGATGCGATGCGGCGGCGACCTTTATAGGACTGATGGCTCAGGCTTTGACCAGCGTAACAAAGAAGTATGGGAATCTCCTGATGTGCTATGTGAATGACGTAGTGATAGCTACATCCACCTTGGAGGACCACATTGACAGACTCGATGAATTCTTTGACTGCATGAAGAGACCTGGCTTGAAATGCAAACCCTTGAAAAGTGAGAACCGTAGGGACTCAATAAAGTACCTGACAAAAATGGTAGACAAGAATGGCGTGAGGCGGGATCCGGATGCGGTGGAGGCTGTGTTAACATGGAAGGCCCCTAAAACGGACACGCAGTTGATGAGCCTCCTAGGATTTACAATTTTTTATAGAGAGTTCATAAAAGGATACGCAGACAAAGTCTACCCGATGCAGCATCTGATGCGCAACAAAGGGAAAAAATTCGAATGGAACGAAAGGGCACAGGAAACCTTCGAGAACAATAAGCGGGATTGTGCAAAGCGCCAGCGCTAGGCATGCCCACGGAGAAAAGCATGTAGGTTCTCGACACCGATGCTTCAATGGTAGCCATATCCGGAATATTGCATCAGAAGCAAGAATGGAATGGGAGAACAGTTCTCCGTCCCAGTGCATACAGCAGTAAGATGTTGAGCGACACCGAAATGAAATACGGTGCTTCAAAAGCAGAAATGTTTACAGTAGCCACGTTTGTGGAGAAGTATCGCTCCTACTTGGGGAGTGCTCCTTTTAAGTGGCGAGTGGACAACCGAGCCTTATCCTGGTTAAAAATTCACTCAATGGATCAAAAATTACACCGATGGATAGTCAGGTTGAATGGCTACCACATGATAATTGACCAGAGGATGCGTGACAAGCAGCAGAATTCAGACAGCATCTGTAGGAAAACTGAGTCTTATGAAAGATTGGAACAGAAGCACGCCAATCACGCGGAGATCGTGGAAGGGTTCTCGTTTTTGGACAAAGATATTCACGAAGCAGTTCCCTTGACGAGACGGCTGGACAAGTCAGGATATCCTATACCAGGACACATGAATTACTAGTGGAGAAAGCGGCAGAGATTCGAGCGAGAGAAATAGATTATCCTGGCCGAGAATCGAGCAAGAGAATTGAATAGGGAGGTTTATCAAAACCGTGATAGTGATCGCTACCTGTTCTCGAGTGAGAAAGTCCTTGGATTTGTCGCTACGTTCAAACCTGGTTCAACAGGAACTCTCTCGTATGAACACTAACAGCCCATCATTGCTAGACAAAACGGTGCAGGTCACATCATAAGGATGCTGGCTGTGTTGTTGAAGAGAGAAGTTACTTGAGATAACCCTGAATGGGCAGCAGCCATAGCTTCGCCGACAGTCAGTGAGAAAGAACGGATAAAACCATCAAGACGCCAGCACAAAGTAAATGAAAGGGATTGTAGGACAGTAATGCAGCAACTAGTGTCCTCAATTCCGCAAAGCGTTTTTATGAGGACATCGTACAAGAAAAAGGAACAGGAGGTCGGTACTCAGAAGAAGATAGTCACTTTTGAGGCGACCGATCAAGGTCTGATAGAAGCCGAGTCGAAAAATCGGAGAGAAAAAATTTGTCCGAGAGTCGGACATTGAAGGAAGCGGATACGTAGGTGGACAAGAACAGGCGGACAAAAATTGTCCGGGGAGCTTAGATGGGTGTGTAGATCATGCATATCAGAATCTGCCGTTGAGACATGCTCCACGGCAGACTCATCTGTCGAAGACACCTCGAAGAGATCGGAGGTTGACACGTACTCGGACAGAAACTCGAGCACAGTATCAGAATTGTCAGTGTTGACGATGCACACATTACTGGTGGAGAATCGAGCAAGAGAATTGAACAGGGAGGTTTATCAAAACCCTGATAGTTATCGCTCTCTGTTCTCGAGTGAGAAAGTCTTAGATAATGCGGCAGATGACCTGGAGATGATAGCGGTGTCAAAACGTTCGATGCGCCTATTACCGCAGAAGGAAGCAGTCAGAATTGACCTAGAACCATGTAAAAAAGTTGACCAAGCTCTTGGCAAAGATTTTGTGTGTTAAGATTGAAGATGACGCGCATCAGCCCGATGAGCTAAACAGTCACCTGAGGGTCATGAAGACAAACTTGAAGGCAAGATACAGACTCTCGGGCTTACTAAGAGCGCAGAGAAATTACCGCATGACATGTAGCTTGAAAAGGTGGATCGAAAATGGGACAGCAGAGAAAGGAGATCGGGAAGAAGATAATTACCAAGTCTTGAGACAGGACTATATGCAAGAAAGGTACGTTTCTAAATGAACAAGGATTGGGTTGTTGCTTGCAAAAGGAGAGAAGAGGACAAGGTCCTATACAAGTAAAACGCGACACTGTTGTCGCAGCTCTTTCAAACGGAATTTTTATTCAGGTCACATAATCAGATATGCTATCAAGGAATCGATAAAGTATACCAGAAATTTTTGAAACGCTTCGAGTGGCTTATGATGAATAAGGCATGCGAGAAGTGGTTTACGGCATTTCTGTCATGCCAATAGGTGAAAGATCCTAGGAAGTTGCGATTTCCATTAAAGTCAATCGAGTCATCCGCGTTCAATAAAGTGGTGCAGATCGATCACCAGAAGATAAATATGACAGACAGTGGCTATATTCAGGTCTGGGTGATGATCGATTCATCAGTATTCATAGGACGTGCCATGCATAGCTGCCTCAGTCTAGGAGACGTGCGATCATCTGATCAACAGATGGATAGCAAGACATGGATGCCCGATAATATACCAATCAGACAACGGAACTGCTTTTGTGGGTGAGCTTACTAGGGAACTCCGGCTCATTCTACGGCGTACCTGCCCCAAGCGAATGGCTTGGTAGAAAGACAAAACCGATTTTGGTGTCGATGGTGAGGGTGTGTTGTTCCCGATACATGCCTGATTGGGATACAGTTTTGCCACAAGTGATGGAAGCTTACAACAGTACGCACCATTCCACCACAGGAATTAGTCCGCATGATGTTGACTGGGCATTGAAAAGGCTTTGCCTTTGATTTTCTTTTATCCGGAGTATCCAAAAGAAGAGAAGAAATGAAGAATTATCCGTTAACAATATTACCAATGGCTCAAAAAGAAACACAGATTGTTTCACAAAAATCCTCTATATCCAGCCAACATTTCGAATCTTAAAACATACAAACGAATAAAAAAAGTTCTTAGCAATGTTAAATTTTCATTATTCGCAAATCAATCAACAAGAATTTGAGCAACTAGCAGAGTTATTATTAAATTACCCTATGATTTTTACCACATCTAAAGTCGATGTTGAAAAATTAGTTTCAACACTACACCTTCCCCTTAAAACTGACACAGTTTTCAAATAGCTCTCAGAAAAGACTCCTAGACGTCCTTGAACAATAAAAAAGAGTTACCTTCACAACCCTGTCATTGTTCTCGCTAAAGGCGAATCATTAAAAATCGTTCTAGATGCAAGATATATCAATTCCTTAAATGAAGAATCAAAATGCAATTAGCCTATTGAACCAAGACAAGTAAGACTCTCAAAGATAAATGGACAAAACTCTACAACTACCGACATGGATAGCGCATACAACGAAAAGCCATTAGACGAACAATCATGTCGACTAACACAATTTGTTATTGAAACTCAAAAATACAAATTTGATAGACTAGTCTATGGTAAACCCATAGGACCAGCAGCTTTTTCCGCATTCATGAGTAAAATTTTTAGACCACTATTTCTTAGCAGAAGGTATTTACATATTTAGACGTTGTTTTCATGCAGTCTCAAAACAAAACAAGAAATGTTTAAAGTATGAGAAAAGTATCATCAATTTTTGCTTAAAAATAAATATGAAAGTAGCCCCAGATAAATTACATTTTTTGTTAAATTCATTGGACACATTATTTAAGGCACCGTTTCTACACTTGTAAAATCACGAATAGATGCAATATTAAACTCCAATTGCCATCTAATAAAAAGAAAATTGAACAATTTTGGAAAGCTAAGTTTTTCAAGTAAATACGTTTAATAAATGCAATTATATCTTAGAAAACTTTATAATATTTTTCGACAACAAAAAAAAATTGATTGGACAATAGAACATCGAAAACGTTTTGACGAAACAAAAACCCTTCTAACAGAACAAATCATAAACACAATCCAGATTCAGACTAATCATTCTACGCAATGTGCGATGCCTCCAACTTTGGAATCGGCGCAGCACTTCTACAATCTCATAAAGATATAAGCAAAATGAACCTTATATCAGCAAATTTGAGATTTTTTACACAAGAAGACTCTCTACCCTTATGAAAAAATGTACAGCCATTAAATATACACATTAACCGAATCAAAACATCCAATTGTTCTTATCACGAACCAAAAATTAATAATTAAAGTCAAATCAAAACCACAGAATTTATAGGTTTCAACTTATCCTCTTGAAATTTCCAAGCGTACATTTATTATGGACAGCAGGCAAAAACTTTGCTTTACATGACACACTTAGTCGCAACACTCACTTGAATTGATAACACGAAAAAAAGGTGTAGAAATGCCAAAAATTATAAAATTATTTCTTGCAAAAGACAAAAAATCACCACGAATAGAACGTAAATATGCAGTAAAAACTGACTCTGATATTACGCAGATAAACGCCTGAGATCACTTCCCATTTTAACTAGACTGTCAAAATAATCACTACAAGGTCGATTTATTAGGAAAAACATAATTAAACCAATACCATTAGTGGGTCAAACCAATATTATCTAAACCAATACTAAATCAATTTTATCTAGTGTGTTTAAACCAATATTATCTAGTGGGTCTTGTAAATTGAATATCCTATTTATTGTATACTTTTGGTGGGTTCTGCTGTCAGCTCCTATTGGTTTTGTTTTATATTTGTGCCAAGATTTTAG